ATAAAACTATTCGTTGTTGCTCCTGAGTAAAACTATCGGGTGATAGCGAGTTCGACTTTATAAACGTGAAAAACGGATCCTTTTGTCGTTCGTCTTCATTCATCATTGAAAAGCATATACCCTGTTTTACTCCGCCTTCACAAAAGTATATATACTTAATAGAGATGGCTTCGGATATAGCATTCATTAAAAAGCTGCATGCCGGAAGTAATTTTGCGCGTCTTTTGCTGATGCGATATGGGTTATTATCGTTATCGTTATCGTTATCGTTACGCTCGCTCGACTTTGATGGAAGATATTGATTAATGTCGTCAAGCAAATTGCTCATCTTGGTACCGTATCCGTTAATGATAGGAATAGGGTACATTTGCTGTCCTGATGCTGAAGAAGGCGCACGAGCTGACATGCTGACATATCCAAGCGCTCTGAACCCCCCTCCGGAGCGGTGGCATTGAGGAGAGGGTGAAAGAGATGGATCCGGTGATATTTGACAGCATACGACGAATGGTGCCCGGGAAAAAGAGAGGACGTAAGATATGTGAGCTCGTTGGTCGATTGACTGGTGTCTATTTGAAAATGCTGCCTGGGGATCCGCTGGATAGCCAAGATGGCGCGGGTACTAATGACTTGAGTGGCATACCTGGGCTCAAAGTACACTTTACTGAAAGTTCAGGGAATGGGAACGATAGATTGCGAGCAACCAAGATTCTCTCTAAGATCTTTGAGCCGAAGAATAGTCAATCTATGAATATTAGGATTGAATTAATCATCGAGTCTGATGCTAACGGTTCCAATTTCCTCCTCGATAATGTTATAGTAAAAGAGGCGTTGAAAAAGCTGGAGAAGGACTATACACTCAAGGGCAAAAAGAATGCCAAAAAACAAAAGAAGGGAAAAAATAATGACGAATCACAACGGGGTAAAATACGGATCGAGGTGGTCGTTAAAGAACTCGAAGTTAATTAATTATAATGTATATTTAAATTATTCCAACTATTAAACTCAATGGTAAGCGTTTTGACTAAATATTGACTTGATATGCATCTTTCTAACTCTCGTCTGTGAGTGAATTGCCTTGCGATCATTAAAAGCGCAAATCTGTGAAGCGAAAACGATATGAACAGAGGCGCGAACGCTATAGAAAGACTTGCTGTTCTTCGCATTCTTCGCTAGTCTCGTCTCAGTCAGTATTTATTTTGACATAAGAAAACTTTTTGTATTAGCAGACACACTGTATATCATATCACTCGTCCATTCTATCAATTATCGGAAGATGAGAGTTATTGTTGTAATCTTTTTAACTGGAAAGACTTCCGGCAGCACAATTTCAATCGTGGTATGCACGAACACACACAAATGAGTATTTTGTCTGTACCCTCTGCTAAAAGTGTGAGATTTACCATGCAACATGAGGAGCTTCACTTAGTTAATGACGTAAATCTATTTATATTTAATCATCTATATAAAATTCTATTGACTTAAAAAATCGATGACGATTATTACGCTATCCTTTATACTATAGTAATAGCTCTGCTTTTTATTTCACTGTTGTGAACGCGATGGGATTCTTCTCAGCATCGCTTCATGATGACTCTTCGTGATTAAGCTATTGATCATAATTATAATAATAGCATCTACTTTATAACATCGAGCGATAATCACAGTCTAGACGACTCCCCGACTGGACTATTCTCTTTAAGGAGGGAGAAAAGCGTAGCTCTATCACTTATGTTATAATACTCTTCGTTTGGCATCGAGAGGTAATGTCACTACAACGGAACTCGTAGTATTTATTTATCTACGCTTCCACGCATTATGCCGCGTTATTCCGTCATTTGCTGTAATAATTCAGGTCACTGTATAGGTAGGCTGATGACATCCAATTACATCAATGAATAATAACAAATACTCAATTATTTAAAATTTATTATTGATTAGTGTTCATATTGACAATGCATCTTAATACGGTATGTGAGTGAACGGAATTGATAATTTGTAGCTATTTGTTGCAAGGGTGTCCTTAAATTACACCCCGGGGGTGTAATTTAAGGACACCCTTGGAACATTCTCTCTTACAATAAGTACAATATCATGTGTAACCACCACCCGCTATCTCACTTTCAGAAGGCAAAATGACTATCGTTTGGACCATTGTCCTGATTACAATCAGTTCTCTTATTTATCTTATTTATTATACATACAATTCTAGAACAATTCGGGTTAGTATAACTTTCCCCAATTGCCCGACTCGAGAGCGGAAAGCGGCTATATTAAATGCATCAATGACACTCAAGGAAGTTCGGAAGGAACTTTCTGTAAATGATGAAAATGGTAAATGCATTATGGAGGATGATATGCTCTTCTGTGACCTCAACAACGCACAGATAAGGCAGATTGATGAAGGAAAATATTATCTCGGCATTATACTAAATGAAATGAACGTCATCTGCATTACACGATGTAAGACACTGGAAGAAGTCATACCTCATTTAATTAGGCAGAGAAAGTTAGATTGCGGTATTCGATGGACTGAAAGTGGACCAGCGCAATCAGACAACGTAGCCTTTAAGTTTAAAAGCTATGCTGTTATGGGCGATAGAATTGAGTATATTGAACGTGCGTTTGAACAAACTAACAATCGTAAACGCTCTGTACTCTGTGAAAACGGCATCGAATGGAAACTTGATTTGAAGACGTTATGGTAAGAGTTTTTTTCTTGAAGTATACCTTACCATTAATGTATAAACTAATAATGATTGATACTGCTAGGCAATCTACCGGCCTCGGCGCACACTTTACGAATGAAAGATCGAATGAATCGAGTACAAATCATAGAAAATATCGGCATGTCCAGAGGCATATCCGAGCGACACTATTCATGAAAAGTGAACACATTGAACCTTCTGATAACTTCAAAAATGAGGTAGAGGAAGCTGTGGGGTTGCTTGATCTAGGAGCGAAGAGTGCAAAGTTGAAAGAAATTTGCGAGAAATATGGGTACTTTTGGGCGAGAGAAGTACACTTGGGGGGGATGATTATCAATACCGAAGAAGAGAGGGAAAACGCCAACGTACAATCAGCTCGGAGAAGAGGAGGCCTTGATATTAATATGAAAACAGGTCCATCAGAATTAAGGAGTGGAATATCTCAAAATAATGATAGATTGAACCAAAATTCATCCAGCAATGCAAACACGAAGTTTACAGTTATTGGTGGAGATTTGAACACTTACATACATCCGGGTGATGAAAGTAAGTAGGTTGCTTTATTAAAACTCATCTTTTTTTGTGACTAAAATTGTTTGCTCCCGCCTCCTGTAAAACAATAGGCAAGTGGCACAGAACACTCCAAGACTCTTCTACCTGGGAGATAATCCATTATGAAGACATAGTTCCAATATATGAAATTTTTGAAGAAAGGATACAAAATGCTATTCGTGAAATATTCAGAGCAAAAGTTTGTTATAGTGGCATTGATGTATTGGACCTTCAGGAAAAGAATTTTTGTATACGTCCAATAAGGTTTCCCCCTAACGTGTGGGAAGGAATTAGACAGCATCAAATATTTGCAGAAGTTATGTATGAAGGCGAGCCTGATACTATGTTTGCTGCAAACATTGAACAAACAGAGGGGTTACCAAATGTGCGTGTTTCCAAAATTCAAGCAAGTGGCAGTAGAAATTATAATTTTTTCAGGAAAAAAAGCAAGTTAAAATTAGCCTACATTATCACGGGATATCCAAAATCATCTGATTCTCAAACGAAAGACGAGTTATCAGTGGAAGTTGCTGTTGTTCAAGGCGAAAAGAAAAATGACAAGTTTGTTGCTTCATTGCCAGAGGTTACAAATATCCAAGGGTTTTATCAAAAAGCTGTTTTAATTACTTGTTATATAACACAACAGACTATGCTGGCAATGCAGAAAACTGGATCCAAAAGAAGAGATTCTGACAATTGTATTGTTTTTACAATGCACCTTCACAAGCCTGATGATGTCAGACCTACTGAAGTATGCATTTCTGGTAAGCATTTATTCTTATTCTTGTTTATTAACATTAAGTCAACACTAGATTATTACTGTAATTATGTTATAATGGTTATTATTATACTGTATATTAATATGTAGTGTAACAAGTCTGTAATAATAATAATGTCATATACTTATTATAATAATAACAGCCTACAGTTGCACTGCCAATGGTGCTTACAAAATGAAAGATTTACCACAAGAAAGTATAAAAATTGCTTACTGGTATGTATCACTATTTTATTTTGGCCTTAGTTTTTCTATTAATTACTTACAAGTTAAAATTAATAGTATTATTACAGATAAACAGCAAAAAGGTATTTCAAAAAAAATTGAGTTTTCACATAAGAATCCCAGACAGTTTGAAAAATTTACCAAAAAATCAGATGCTTACAGAGCTCTGTTTTCAAATCAAGCATGTAATAGTACTAGTCAATCTTCTGTATTTACAAATATAGTGCTTCCTTCAGAACATTGTGTTCCTGTTTTTAGGTTAACTACCAAAAAACGTATAGTATACTGTTCTGGACAAGATTATGATAGTAAATTAGAAGGAAGCTTTATTTATTTTCATCATGAGGTAGATAATGATAATGTTATTGATGATAATGTTATTGTTTAAATGAAAACTGTGTCAAATTCACTATTATTGGTGTTAAAGTCTCGGTAATCATTTCTTCCTTATTATTATTCATTCATTTCTGCTTCAGCCATGTTGAAACGTCAATAATGGAAAGGTCGTTTTACTGACGACCAGGTCCGTTTTCATAAAATCGAATGCTCACACAGCCTTGTGGCTGTGCGGCTGTGCGGATTTAATGGTTAATATACAACGAACAGTTTTTTTGCCGCTACTTCATATTACGCATACACGATAGTTTGCTCGGGATAATCTTCAGTCAGCTATTCCAGCAAATTTAATGTCAACGCAAAAACTTAATTAAATTGCTTTGATAATAACCTCACCACTCAGACACTTGAGTCCAGAACTGAGACATGTCCCATACTTATGAGTTTCAAATAGTAGCCATCTATTTTGCATGACGCTAATGTAACACATGTGTTGTGAGTTTTAGTTTGGCGATTGGGCTTGCTAAAGTAAAAGAAAATAGAAGTCGTGATATGTGTTACATAAGACTATCTCTTTTATGTTATGTACTATAACAACAACTATGTTGTAGTTTTACTACTTGATAGGTGCACACTTTTCGCAAGAAAGCCAAATAAATTTATCCAAAACATAGATTCAGATACTCAAAGGACATAGTCAAGAGAAGTTATTAATACTATAGCCGACGCTAGAAAATAATCAGATCCTCGCAGAAATGAGCAATATCTAATTTATTATTATATCAACGCACTTGCTTCATTTAATAAGACAGTAGGTATAATTACTGTATGTTGACATTCCGCAAGCTGACAGGCGATTCGCTGACGCTTACTGTGCCCGAAGATTTTCTATTTTGTCTAGTCGTTCTGCTTGTATTTTTATTATTTAATTTTTTTCACTTCTCTTGTTTCTTCGCTTTTATCATATGTTGGTGCCAATATTCTTGAGCATAAACGTGATCGGTATTAAAAATTTACGTATTAATAGGTATTTACCCGAACTAGTCGTATCAAATTATATACAACATACATACCGAAGTCTCTTTATACCGGACGGAACTATTCGTTGTGCCTTATATAAAATTTTTGTTCGTACTGAAGTCTCTTATAATTATGTATGTTTAAAAAAATAAGCTCTAAGATTAGCTACTTTTTAGACGTTGTTAGTTTGAAAAAGTGTTCTAACCTGCTGTCCTTTTAAGTTTGCAACTAATCCAATATTCGTATTCAGAAAAATAAATTATTCAGTGTGTGTATATGCTCAATCACTTCTTAATTGTTAAATTTGTTGTCTGGATTGATTATAATATTTATTCATTCTATCGGACGCCTCATTATACGAAAAAATGGTTCCGGGAAATTAAATAGGTATCCTGTATTCTGCAATATTTATAAGCTGAACAGAGAATTTGTCTTTGCGATTCTTCGATGGACAAATTTGCTTAAACCTATATGCAAGACAAGAACCAACTTTATCAACAGTAAACCGTGACATGAAATTTTTGGATTTCTCATGTCTTTAATGTAGAAATTATAACTTTATCGAGTATCGTATAGGGATAAATATATACTTCGTTTCAAAAATTACGTCTGCATTTGAGCTTTATAATAGGCTGGGTTGTCATATTCCCGGTTAGAGAGCAGCGTACGCAACTTATATAATCAGTGTTTATTCTAGTCTTACGTTATAACTAATCTGCAAAAAATCAAATGACACTGATACGAGCGTTTTCTATAGACACGTCTGTTTTTCGCGTTGTTTACTTCTGTTAATATTGTAATAAATTGCAAATGCTCCAGTTTCGACCCAAGCTACTATATTAGTTGAACCGATTACTTAACCGTGGAGAAGTTGGTCTACGAAGAATAACAAAAAGTTTACTGAATAAAGGTATACGCCGACCAGCACATTGGAAACGAAACTTTATTCCGTGGCATAAAACACTCGACAATTGCTTTACTTGGTTCAGTGGTCCTTTATTGACACAGCTCGGTAGACCGCTAGAGCTGTTTTTACTTTACCTGGAAGGTAGTAAATATAAAAATTTTTTGAAAAAAGTGCGCAAGTAGCAAGCACTAGTCATTTTAAGGAAATTATACGGTATAACGCATCGCAGCAGCTGGGGTCACCATCCACTAAATCACCTTTTCAACGCTTACATTATCACCGAGGATATCAAACCGAATGATAAATTTGTTGAAGCAACTGAGCATAATCAACCGCATAGAGCATTGGACAATTCTCTAAATACGGATATTAGATACAATTACAAAGTTTAAAAAAAAACCAACTTTTTTTCGATTCAACTCTTTCAAGATAGCTAAGAAGATTGACTTTTATCTCTCAAACAGTTGATAAATTAACTATTAAGATTGACATTGTTGGAGGAGAAAAGAGGAAAATAAGTTAGCTGTTTATTGCCAAGTAAACGGTAAAATAATCGTAAATTGATACTTCTAGCATAATTCAATTGCGTATACCAATTTTCCTGGCATCTCGATTTACTATATAAGAATTATTTCATTGTCTAGTAAGTTCGATTAATTCAAGCACAAGTGTTTAGTGAAGAAAAATAAGCAAGTTGCTACGAAAAAAAAAAATTAGACTTTACTTTTATTTATTAAATTATTTCGGTAGTTAGAAATAGTTCTAAAAAAAATTTTTTTTTGGGGCTGAAAAACTTGACGTTTTAATGTTCCTGATTCAAATAAGAGTTCCAACTCTTGCGGTTTACGATCGACAGAGAAGGCAGAACGAAACATTTGCATTATCGAAGCCGGCATGTTCAAACAAAAAAATAATAGATGCAAATATAAAATGTTTAACTACATCGTAATGAGTATAACCCGAGAATAATATATACGAACATCTCAAGAACAGATATTACTCGGTTGAGCAAATTATATCACTTTCAAAAAACTGTACGAATACGCGGTGAGGAAATATTGGCTTATGTCGCTGAAACTAATGAGCAATTACTGATTTATCTATTGGAAATAGTGTCAGTTTTGACAAAAAAAATCAGGGCATTGTCACTCGGATAAAAGTCATCTGGCAGATGAGATACCAAAAGATGCTGGATACCGTCAGCGAATCGTGACCGTTTGGTTGAAGAGACCTTGAGATTCTAAAAGAAAAAACTGACGTTTGTAATCAAGAATTGCTTTATAGAAGTAACATTTCCCGACGTCTCAAATCCTCATGTTCATGTAGATGTTATTATAAATTCTAATATTCGATACTGAAGTATTTGATATAATATTAAAACCATACTTTTAATCATTGTGTATAATGCCTCCTTGGAAGTACTTGTGCATTATCACTATTAATAAACGATTGTTATTCTTTAAATTATTACGAAACTCTTTATTTATTATTATTTCGTTCGCTGATACTAATTATTGATACTCCTACGTAGCGGAAGATTTCACAAGGCTGTTGGGATTAAATACCCCGTTCGAATAATTGCGGAAGAAAGTTGTCGACGATATATATATCGTTCATTTCGTAGCTGCGATAAAGATTAGAGATTCACGAACTAGTTGTTTTTTAATTGTGACGTTTCCCGGCTTGTGGAAATACTAATCGAAGACCGCCAATAGTATTAAATCTCCCCCTTCGATTCTGCGACAGTATAATTGTTGTAATATTATCGTAGGTACCCTTATTTTAGATACGAGTATAGGTAGATACATCGTATAGGAGTGAAAATAAAGCGCGTACATACAGTATAATAATTATAGTGGCTTATCGATTCAGTTCAACATTAAGTGAGCAATCGTTGTAGTAAGGGCAGCGACAAGAGCTCGGCAGAACGCACCTACGCAATTTAATTGCTCTCATTCAAATCTAGACGCCGACCGTAACACTAGCATCAGAACGTTTTGCAATAACAAATAATGTTGTATAATAGTTTACGAAATTAAATCTTTCCGCAGATGCAATTGTCTGAAATGACTTCGAAGAGACATCTTGTCATTTGTTTAAGGAAATTTAAATCAGAATATTAATATTGTTAGACCAGTTTATCAATAGCAGAGAAATGTACAATATCGATGTTTAAAAATCACATTATATAAAGACATTTGGTGTGCTAACGCTAAAATCTGAGCATTTCGACCCAAAATCACTTATCGTTATGGTTCTTCTGTCACCAGCAAAAAATTTTCCCATTAACACAGTAAGTTGGGTGAGTAGTATGTTATGAACAAATCGTCAGCAAACTAGTCACACCAGCCGAATAAGCTTAGTTACACCGTGACACGAATTATAAACGTAATCTTATTTCAAATTAAAATTTTGCGTATATGTTAGTATTACGTGCATTAATTGACTTTACATAACCAATTCTTGTCTTCCTACCTTTCCAATTAGAACTGTTTCTCAGTTCGGGCTGGACCACAGATTTTAAATTAGACGGTTTGGGCAAATTCTTCAAATTCCAACTATACAAGTTTTGTGTTACCGCCGCATTCGTTTTCGTTTTCGCTTTAGGTTTGGGCAAATTCTCCGACTTCCAACTAGATATAGACAAGTTTTGCGTTATCGCTGCACTTGTTTCCGTTTTCGCTTTAGGTT